GAATGAAAGGGGGGAAGAATAGGAGAAAGGATGGATTAAGAGAGATAAACAAGGGAAGACATGGAGAGAAAATACTTAGATCACGCTGAAAGGTCATTTATTTTCAGCACGAGATTAATTTTTTAGGGAAACAGATAACCGGATGAAAGGGGGAAAAACGGAAGAAGGAATGAATAAAAGTGTAAATGTAAGAATAGATAAACGAAAAGATAGAATAATAGATGAATCGATGAACAAAAGAAACGTCAAGGAAAGACAGTGATCCAATCTCAAACCTGATTTAGAAATAAAATCATGCAGTGTTTCACAAACCTTAACCATTTCACCGAAAAGAAAAGTAGAATTAAGAATAAAATAAATAAATAAATAGAAAAAAAAGAGAAGATATATGGCATCCAGTAGCAAAGCGAATTAATGTTAACTTCACCATGTTAATCAAAATTCTAGACGAGTGTTAAGGTAAAAACACAGGATGAATTTAAAACAACGATAAAGTAAAGGAATGTTCAAATGAAAGTAATGTGAGAGATAAAAACTTAATCTCTTTAAAAAGTGGATTTAATGGCCTGGCAACGTATAAGAAACAAAATAAAACATTTGTCTTTTGTAGCGGAGTGACTGTTTGACATGAGTCGTCAAATGCGGGTCCCACACACATACACACACACTCTCTCTCCTGTCTCTCTCTCTCTCTTTCTTTCTTTCTCTCTCTCCTCTCTCTTCTCTTTCTCTTTCTTTCTCTCTCTCTCTCTCACACACACACACACACACACACACACACACACACAAACACACACACACACACACACTCTCTCTCTCTCTCTCACACACACACACATACCCTCTCTCTCCTCTCTCTCTCTCTCTCTCTCTCTCTCTCTCTCTCTCTCTCTCTCTCTCTCTCTCTCTCTCTCTCTCTCTCTCTCTCTCTCTCTCTCACACACACACACACACACGCACGCACGTACGTAAACATAAGTTGAGAAATATTTTCTAATTAAGTGTAGCAAGTTGTAATTAATGATGTAACTCTTACATAATCATATTTTTAATTTTTCTTCGTTTAATCTACAGCACGTGTGGAAAATGTTGTCGTAAAAGCTTATTTGCAAACATTGTTTCATGTCTATTCTTTTATCTATCTATCTATCTATCTACCTGTCTGCGACCTTGCGTGTGACTGTTTATTAATCCGCCAATCTATCTGTGTTTGTGCATGTACGCTTGTTTGTATGTATATGTATATATTTATTTATGTACTTTTTGCATGTATGTGTGTATGTATGTGTATATGTATATACGTATGTATGTATGCGTATATGTATGTAAGTATGAGTGTGTCTACGTATGTATGCATATAAGAATGTTTATATACGCATGACTGCATGTGTGTACGCATGACTGTGTGACTGTACATGTGTGTACGCATGGCTGTTTAAGTGTGTATGTGTATACGCATGACTGTGTGAGTGTGCATGTGTGTACATGACTGTTGAGTGTGCATGCACTGTGTGAGTGTGCATTGTGTTATTGCATGTGTGTGCTAAAACTTACATACTTTTATCTGCATAATTCGCTCGACTGTTTATTACACATTTACTCACTGAAAAGCAACGGCAATTTTTCATGTTGCGTTTAGACAAGCGTACGCATAAAAAAAACTTCTCCATTAAAAACAAAACAGTATAGGATGAAAAATATATTTGTTTACATGTCCAACAAAATAAATTCCTGTGATGCAAAAGTTATCGAACTCGGTTATGGTTTAGAAATTTTTACGAAAAACTCTAAAACTATATGTCAGTTACTGAACACTTGCCACGTGTATTTATATATATATTTTACCTTCGCCAAGGAGGTTATAGTTTTGGGCACGTTGGTTAGTTAGTTTGTCATTTAGCAGCATTTCAAAAATTATGAATAGATTGAAATTCTGATTTTTTATCAGAGGTGTGTCTTAGCCTAACTTATATTATGATAGTGGTGATCGCTTTTTAGCAGGACAACTCAAAAAAATTATGAATAGATTTTTTATGAAAATTTTACCCGCGCTGTTTTAGTCTTAGATTCCATTAAATTTTATTGGTGATCCGGATCCAGGAATTTTGTGAATGATTACACCATTATAATTACCTTACCTTCGCCATTGAGTTTGTGTTTACGGGCGTCACCTGTGTAACTGAGAAAGGTAATTTTGGTGTAATTATTTAAATGTGATCGCCTGTGTAATTGAGAAAGGTAATTTTGGTGTAATTATTTAAATGTGATCACCTGTGTAATTGAGAAAGGTGACTTTGGTGTAATTATTTAAGTGTGATTTTTTTTTATTTCATTGCATCAGTGATCTTATTGCCTTGACAGAGGTATGCGGTTTCCAAGTGTTTCGAGTTTTGTTTAGATTTTTCACTTGGTGTTGTTCTATTTTTCTCTCTCTTCATCATATTTCATTTCTATCTATCTTTGTTGTATTCCATTTTGATTTATATCTATTATATCTATCCGTTTATAGGCCCATCAGAAGAAAACATAATGGCCATATCTCTTTTTCTAATATTTATTCTTCTTAAAAAATGAGGCCATAAGAACAGACATTTTATACTTACTAAACACGCCTATTTATCATAAAAAAAGTAACAAAAAAAAAAAAAAACTGTAGCTCTTTAAATTAATTCTAAGTGACAAACTTGTTATAATTGTCACATAACTTTTATGTAGTTTAATTAACCAAGATATTCAGTCATTAAGTATTATGCATGTGTGTGTATTTATGTGTATGTGTGTATTTATGTATGTGTGTATGTGTGTGTGTGTGTGTGTGTGTGTGTGTGTGTGTGTGTGTGTGTGTGTATGGTGTGGTGTGTGTGTGTGTGTGTGTGTGTGTGTGTGTGTGTGTGTGTGTGTGTGTGTGTGTGTGCGTGTGTATCTCAATTTGTGTGTACACGCCATGTGTGTGTGTGTGTGTGTGTTGTGTGTGTGTGTGTGCGTTTGTGTTTGTGTGTACACGTCATGCTTATGTGTGTGTGTGTGTGTGTGTGTGTGTGTGTGTGTGTGTGTGTGTGTGTGTATGTGTATGTGTATGTGTGTGTGTGTGTGTGTATGTGTATGTGTATGTGTGTGTGTGTGTGTGTGTGTATGTGCGTGCGTGTGTACCTCAATTTGTATGTACACGTCATGCTTATCTCTCATCTGTAGCAATACGTACGTGGCGTTACGTAGACGGGATATAAACCACATTAAAAACAGAAATAATTAAACAGACAGCATTAATCATTAAAGGACGTTGGGACACGAAAATGTGCATCAATCATAAGATAATCACCGAAGAGCCTTGTCATCCTTCCCGCATCCTTCCCTCTCCTTAATTTTCTCCTCTCCTTCCTTTTCCTTTTCCCCCTTCCTTTCTTCTCCTTCCTTTCTTCCTTCCTTTCGTTCATCCTTCTCCCCCTTTCTTTCTTCCTCCCTTTCTTTCATCCTTCTCCCCCTTCCTTTCTTCCTCCCTTTCCTTCTTCTTCCCCTCCTTCCTTCCTTCCCTCCTTTCCTCCTTCCCCTTCCTTTCTTTCTTCCCCCTCTTTCCCACTTTTTTCCCTTCCTTCCTTCCTCCCTTCCTTTGCCCCTTGCTTTCTTCCTTTCTTTCTTTCCCCCTTTTTCGCCTTCCTTTCTTCCTTCCTCCCTTTCCTCCTTCTTCCCCTTCCTTTCTTTCTTTCCCCCTTCTTCGCCTACCTTTCTCCCTTCTCTCCTTTCCTCCTTCTTCCCCTTTCTTTCTTTCTTTCCCTTCTTTTCGTCTTTCTTTCTCACTTCCTCTTTTCCTTCTTTCCATCGTCCTCCCCTCTCCCGCTCCTTCTATTTTTCTCCCTCCCCATTCCTATATGTTCCCCTTCTCCTTCCTTCTTTCCTTCCTCCCCTTTCCCCTCCTTCTTCCTCTCTCCTCCTTCTCTCCTCCCCTTCACCTTCTTTCCTTCTCCCTTCCCTTCCCCTTCCTTCCTTCCTTCTTCCCTCCCTTCCTTCCTTCCTTTTCTCCTCCCCTTCAACTTCTTTCCCTCCCCTTCCCCTTCCTTCCTCCTCTCCTCCCCCCTCCCCCCAACGGGGCCCCGCCTCCATACCTCTCCAACATAATTAATTTTACTGGCGTGACGTCACGGGTATAACGTGTCAGCTGAGTTCAGACTGGATTTAGATTAAAGCTTTGGTTGTGTAACGTTATCTGCTCGTATCGTAAGGTCGATGGACTGCTATGCTTCTTAAGGGATTTTCGACCGAGTGAGTGAAGCTTCTTGTAATGGGAATGACGTTAGCCATAAGCCACACATAGCATCATCTATTTCTCTGTGGGCTGTGATGTCTATCTTAGATTCTGTTGAGAGAGACAGACAGACAGATGAATATGCAAAGATAAACAGGTAGATAGATAGATAGATAGATAGAGGGATAGATAAGTAGATAGATGGGTAAAAAGATAGAAAGATAGATAGAGATAGATAATAGATAGATAGATAGGCATATATATATATGTATATATATATATATATATATATATATATATATATATATATATATATATATATATATACATATAGATAGATAGATAGATAGATAGAAGATAAATAGATAAATAGATAGATAGATAGACAGACAGACAGACAGACAGACAGACAGACAGATAGATAGATAGACAGATAGGTAGATAGATAGAGAAATAGAGAGGGGCGAGAGAGAGAGAGATTGATCAATAGATAGATGAATAAATAAATAGATAGGTAGATAGAGATAGATAGATAAATAAATAAATAATATATATATATATATATATATAGATAGATAGATAGATAGATAGAGATAGATAGATAAATATATATAGATAAATAGATAGAGATAGATAGAGAGAGAAGCAGCGACGCAAATGATAACATATAAAAAACCCGGCGAACTTACCAATAATTTACCTTTCCTTTATCGACACCTTATCAACATCTTATCATTTTAATCTAATCAAATTCCTGTAATCGCTGCTTACGTCTGCTGTCCGTGTCGTGCGCCAGTCGTAGAAAAGAGGCTGCTGGTCGTCATTATTTCTTGGGGACGACCTTTTTGTGATATAAAATTCAGTGGAGAAATACAGTGCTGGTCGAAAAGTATTGGAAAAAAAGGGGGTTGTATTTTGGGGGAAGAGTGCAAAGAGAAAGAGAGAGAGAAGGAGGAAGAGAGAAGGAGGTGAGATAAGAAGACAAGGAGGAAGGAGAGAGAAGACGAGAAGAAGAAGAAGAAGAGAACAGAAAATGGCCGGTTCTGTAGGATTTCGAAGCGGCGGAGCCCTGTCTGCCGCCGCCCTCCTGCTCTTCTGCGCCGCCGTGTGGAGTCCCCAGGGCGCCGTAGCTGTCAGTGAGTCATGTCCTGAGGGCCTCTGCGAGCTCGGAGGACTCAGGTTCAATTCCGGAAGCGGAGGACAATTCCCCGCGGCCTTTTAGGATGTGCGAAGGGGGCTTTCTGCGTCGGGAGAGAGAGAGAGGGGGTTGGGGGTCTGTGTGCAGGCTTGGGGGTCCTTCTGTCTCCGTCTGTATGTCTGTTTGTCTGACTGTCTTTGTCTTAACTCTCTCTCTCTCTGTCTGCTCTCTCTCTCTCCTCTCTCTCTCTCTCTCTCTCTCTCTCTCTCTCTCTCCTCTCTCTCCTCTCTCTCTCTCTCTCTCTCTTCTCTCTCTCTCTCTCTCTCATCTCTCTCTCTCTTTCTCTCTCTCTCTCTCTCCTCTCTCTCCTTCTCGCTCTCCGTACGCGTGTCCTGTATGCTTGTTTCGTGTATGCGTGTGGGCATACGGATCCTTCTGTCTCTCGTCTGGTCTGTCTTTTTGTCTGTCTGTTATCTTGTCTCTCAAACTCTCTCTCCTCTCTTCTCCTCTCTCTCTCTCTCTCTCTCTTCCTTCTCTCTCTCCATCTCTCTCCTCTCTCTTCTCTCGTCTCTCTCCTCTCTCTCTCTCTCTCTCTCTCTCTCTCTCTCTCTCTCTCTCTCTCTCCAGTCTCTCTTCCTCTCTCTCTCTCTCTCTCTCTCTCTCTCTTCTCTCTCTCTCACTCTCTCCTCCTCCTCTTCTCTCTCTGTCTCTCTCCTCTCCATCTCTCCTCTCTCTCCTCTCTCTCTCTCTCTCCTCATCTCTCTCTCTCTCTCTGCGTGTGTGTGTGTGCCTTATCTGTATACTTGTTTCCATGTATGCGTGTCGTATTGTGAAACATTAGCAAACCTTGCAACACAATTTGCTGAAAGATTTCTTAATTAACCAACAGCTTTTATTCCTGTCTTGGCAACACATTGTCCTAATTAGATATTCTCTCGACAAATACACTAAACACATGTTTGAAAAAGAACAGTGGCATTACAAATACTCTGAGGCATTATTAATGTATCGTATTTTACCGAATATCAAATCATTTTAACACTGTCTGTCACAAAATGACACAAATCGGCAAAGCAGGCATTCTTGGAATTTAATAATTTTTTGAATTATGGTAAATCAGCTCTAGAGATTGATATATTTCGTTTATTGTTGATGCATATATGCCATTTGCAGCTGACTTATTTTCAGAGAGAGAGAGAGAGGAGAGAGAGAGAGAGAGAGAGAGAGAGAGAGGAGAGACGAGAAGAGAGAGAGAGAGAGAGAGAGAGAGAGAGACGAGAGAGAGAGAAGAGAGAGAGAGAGGAGAGAGAGAAGAGAGAGGGAGAGTAAGAGAGAGAGGGGTGTGGGGAGCAACAGAGGCGAGAGAGAGGAGTAGGGTCTGAAGGGTAGGAGAGGCGAGAGGAGAGGAAGAAGGAGGAGAGGCGCGAGGATCCGGAGAGGAGAGTAGGAGTGTAGGGAGGAGAGGAGAGGAAGAGGAGAGGAAGGGAGAGGAGAGGAGAGGAGTAGCGGAACAGAGAGACGAGAGAGAAGGAGAGAGTAATCGACGGAGAGTAGAGGACAAAAGGAGAGAGAAGAGATGAAACACAAGAAAGCGAGAGACGAATTATCCTCTCCTCTACTAAGTCTATCCTGAACAACCGAGCGTTTTCTAAATATATAGTTCACCCTATGTGATTAATCTCTGCCATTATGGCGCTTTGTCTCTCATCATCTTTTCCTGATCATTATAACCACAACAAATCCATTCCCAATTTACTCCCTAACTTCGGCCCTTTTTAGTCAGTCCATATTTCTCATATATAACACCGATAAGAACTCTTTATCTTTCCATTAAATCTTCTTTTTATCAAGAAAAGCATACTCGATATTCAAACAGTCTTCGTAATCAGAAATTTCATCTAATTATTTTTTTTTTAGCATCTGCAAATATTTAATATAATTAAATGGGGTGTGGAAGCGGAGTGGAGGAAGGAAGTGGTATAAGGAGGGATGGAAAACGAACTGGATAAATGGACGTGAGTGAGTGAGTGAGGGAAGTAGAGACGAGAGAGAGAGAGAGAGACGAGAGAGAGGAGAATTGAGAAGAAGAGAGAGCGGGGGTAGGGGGAGGGAGAGAGAGAGAGAGGAGAGAGAGAGAGGAGAGAGAGAGAAGGAG